AGCTGCTTCTGGCGAACCAGAGCAGCACATGGAAACGCCGTTTACCTTCCCGCCGGAGTGGTACCTATTTATCTACTTGCACTTTGATGCGCTTTCGAACTGCTAGGTTGGCAGGAGCAGGGACAGAGTGACAGAAGCTCACCCCGTCATGGGGATTCGAACCACCGACCTTCTGATCAGCAAGTCCTAGGCTCTGTGATTTAACCCACAGCGCCACCTGTGTCCCAATTATTATTATTATTGCATTTTATTAGGTTTTTCCAAAGTTGTTGTTTCCTGTAAATTATTATTTACAGGAGGAATCCATAAACATATAAATACATGCGTGGGTGTGTGGATTTAACTTTTACCCTACCTGCCCAGATGTTCTCAGCCCCCATAATTCCAAAATTCTAAGCATCAAAGCGGATCCCTGCCACTCATTCTGCACCAGCCAAACCCTGATACATGAACAGCATGTGTTTTATTCTGAGATCTTGTGATGAAGGACGGTGTATAAATCTAATAAATAAACAAATAAACAGCATCCTTATGGGCCGCTCACAATACCCCAGAGGGAAGTCTCAACAGACAAAATGCTGTTAAAGCACTGAGGGGATTTTTCCAACGGGCCAAGTACCATTTCCTCGTATCCGTTGCTGTATATGAGCCAGTTCATGCTGTCATTGCTGAAGCCCACGTGGAAGGTGGTGACAAAGTCATCGCTGTTGAAGAAAAAGGACAAAAAATGAAGGAAAGTGGTAGCTAAGCGGCCTTCTAGGTTCAGCATTCAAATTTCCTTTTTTAAAGGTTTTTTAAAGATTTTTTTAAAAGCACAATTCTTATCCTTTTGTTTTTGCAAAAAATTTTTATTCATTTTCCAATTAAAAAAACATTCATATTCGTAACAAATCTAACCAAATCTTTCCACATTTTATATATATATATATATATATATATATATATATATAGCCAATTATATCGTCCAAATTAATTAATTTCAATGGGACTTCCTGTGTTCTGGATTTCAAAAGCCCAATATCCATCCTTTATCATTTTGCTATCTTCTCTATTACTTCACAATTTTCCAATCCTGATATTAACAATCTCCTCTCTCTATCAGTCAGTCGCTGGTATAACTCCCTATCTTGTTCTATTTGACCATTCCTTATTTTTATAATCACGCAGGGGGCTAAAAAAAGCACAATTCTTATCCTAATGAAGGAAGCACGTGGGTAAGAAAGTAAGAAGTCTGCTAAACTATGCAAAATGACTGCTTCATAATGCGTAACTCTCAGCATCCAGTTTTTCAACCACAGATTTTTTTGAGGGGTGGGGATCCTAGTGCAGAATAAACACAGTCTTCCCTTCTTCCATTTGTACCTATTGATTTGCACTAGGACCCTCAACCCTAAAAAAAAATATGTGGTTAAAAAAAGCTGGATGCTGATCCTTTGGTCTGCCCAACACATAGGGATGGGTTTTCCTCATCTGACACCTACAGCATGCATCTAAAGCACATGGAATCTAAAGAATCCTGGAAACTGTAGTTTGTGAAGGGTGCTGGAAACTGTTGCTCGGGGGGTAAACTACAATTCCCAGGATTCATCACCTTGCCAACAAAGGTCTGTATAGTTAAAGCTATGGTTTTCCCAGTAGTGATGTATGGAAGTGAGAGCTGGACCATAAAGAAGGCTGATCGCCAAAGAATTGATGCTTTTGAATTGTGGTGCTGGAGGAGACTCTTGAGAGTCCCATGGACTGCAAGAAGATCAAACGCATCCATTCTAAAGGAAATCAGCCCTGAGTGCTCACTGGAAGGACAGATCGTGAAGCTGAGGCTCCAATACTTTGGTCACCTCATGAGAAGAGAAGACTCCCTGGAAAAGACCCTGATGTTGGGAAAGATGGGGGGCACCAGGAGAAGGGGATGACAGAGGACGAGATGGTTGGATGGTGTTCTCGAAGCTACAAACATGAGTCTGACCAAACTGCGGGAGGCAGTGGAAGACAGGAGTGCCTGGCGTGCTCTGGTCCATGGGGTCACAAAGAGTCGGACACGACTAAACGACTAAACAACAACAACAAGTAGGTGTGTGGCCTCTGTTTCTCATGCTGCCTATCTTAAGTTCAGTTCCCCATATTTCCACATCACTCGGTTACGGTTCTTTTTAAAATGTTCTCATGAGAATTCAGCAGCATTTGGGTAAGAATTTATTCTAAAATACATATTTTAATGGAATTTTGCTGAACATCCCCACTTTTGCAAAAGTATATTTCCCCCAACAAAGTGCATTTCCGAATGCAGTTTTCACCAATGCCTGCATTTTATGCACACTTGGCCGGAGAACCGCACTACAACATTTGGAGAAGTGCGGCTTTCAAAGGCTGGCAGCATTTCAGTTCGCATGCAATTTAGGAATGTGCAAATTCGGCTGGTTCGCCTTTAATCTGAATCGAAATTCTCCCCCTTCCCTACCCGTACGTACTGGATGAGAGAATCACGGCCCTGGGTTATGACTCCTGTGAACTTGGTGGTTCTTCTGGTGTCCACCTGAATCCACTGTACGCGGCTGTCGTCTTCTGCACACCAAGCGCCGTCAAAAAAATCATCCTCGTTAGACCCTGCCTGCAAAGGGAGGCAGAAAGGAGAAGAGGAAGAGGAAGCAATATTGCTAATGACCTTATTCCCATTTTGTGAGCCACTTTGCTGGGTTGGTAGCAGAAAGGCGGGGTGCAAATGTTTTAAATACATCTATCTATCTTTCCTTATTATACTGTAAAGATGCAGTTATGGGGTCAGACCTGGGGCCCTCCAGCCTCTCTGTCTAGCTCTTGAAACTCTCCCCAGGTCAAAAAACCTCACTTGCCCTGTATTTGCACAGCAAATGTTTTTACCTAGCTGGAAGGTGTCCTTGAACTCTTGATAATAGGTAAAAGGTAAAGGGCCCCTGGACAGTTAAGTCCAGTCAAAGGCGACTATGGGGTTGCGGCGCTCATCTTGCTTTCAAGCTGAGGGAGCCGGTGTTTGTCCACAGACAGCTTCCTATGTCATGTGGCCAGCAAGACTAAACCATTTCCGGCACAACTGAACATTGTGACGGAAGCCAGAAACGCTGTTTACCTTCTTGCTGCAGCATTACCTACTTATCTACTTGAACTGGTTTGCTTTCGAACTGCTGGGTTGGCAGGAGCAGGAACAGAGCAAAGGGAGCTCACACCGTCGCAGGGATTTGAACTGCCAACCTTCTGATCAGCAAGCCCAAGAGTCTCAGTGGTTTGGACCACAGCGCCACCCCCATCTGATAATACCACTTGGCTGGATGGAGGATAGAGGGATGCGTTCAAATATGTGTAAAAGCCAGCCTACGGTACAGAGGAAACAATTTTCATTTGCTGCTCTGCCAAAATTGGCCTCTGGCCCCACCCAACCACTGACATGTGGCCCTTAGAAGGTTATCCAGAATGGAACATGGTCCTCAGGTTCCCCACCCTTGTTGCACGACGCCGAGTTGAGGTCATTGAACGGCGTCATTGTTGAGTTTATAATGATAAATAAAACAACAACAAAACAATAATAGTGCTTGTGAATCATCATTTCACATTCAACCATTCAAGAACAGGATCGTGGCCACCAGAAGCACTTTTACTTGGTATTATAGGCCAAGACATTAATAGACAAGATGTCAAACTGTTCTTATATGCAACAACAGCGGCAAGAGTATTGTTAGCCCAGAAATGGAAGCAAGAAGAAATTCCGGCGAAAAAAGAATGGCAGACGAAATTAATGGACTATGCAGAATTGGACAAAATGACAAGAAGGATTCGAAACCTGCGGGACTAGAGATTTACAGAAGATTGGAAGAAGTATATGAATTATTTGAAGAGCAACTGTAATTAACAAATTGCGCTAGTAGGATTACAAGAAGTTTTGTAAGGAGAAATATACAAAGTGTTACAAAGTAGAAAAAGATAGAGATATTGGTTATGAGTTTGAAATGTAATAGGGAAAATAAGAAATGCATACTAAGAGATTAGATTGGAAAATTTTCAGACAGGACTGATGGAAGTAAAAAAATTGAATAAGATGTAAAAGTATGTTTAATTACTGTTGAAAATGATATGTTAAAAAACTAATTAAAATTGAGAGAGAGAGAGAGAGAGAGAGAGAGAGAGAGAGAGAGAGAACAGGATCATGGCCACACCTGGAACAATGCCATTACCTGCATGTTAAGGCGACCACGATGGGCTGCTAAGCCATGACGCAGCATGGAGGAAGATAAAATCTGATCGTCCTCAATTCGATGGGATTCCATCCCAATAGGAGGGCATTCTGTAAAGCAGAACGGGCAGGGCAGTTCACTTATTATTATTATTAAATTTGTATTCCACCCTACATCCGTAGATCTCAGGGTGGTTCTCAGCATGAAAATGCATGATAAAAGCACAAAATGCATAACAACAAGGACAAATCCAAAAACAAACAAACCAATATCCCGTTCATGCATCCCCACAGATATAGAGATCTGTCACTTGATGATTGCAGCAAGAAGCAACAAAATGATCACGATGTACTACTCTGGCTGCCAGTTCGTTTTAAGGCTTAATTTAAGGTGCCCACAATAGTGTTTAAAGCCCTAAACCAATCAACTTAAAGACCACCCCTGTTATGTACTGAAGTTCTCACCCTGGGCCAGCATGGGGATACTGTAGATAGTTATGCAAATAAAGGATCGAAAGTGACGTTCAGTGATTGGCTAGTTACAGAAAATGGTTACTGTTGCATTCTAGTGGAGCTCTATATAAGCAGGCTGACTGAGCTCCTCAGTTCAGTTCTGTTCCAGCTTACAAATAAAGAGCTGCTTTGGAAGAATCGCTGTGTTGTCTGATATGTTCGCCCACAACTTAACAACCCCCTTCCCCAGTGTCCCACTCAGATATTAAGATCAGAAGAGGGGGCCTTCTTGGTAGTGCAATCATCCTCAGAGACTCAGAGTGTTGGTGACCCAGGAGTGGGCATTCTCTGTGGTAGCCCAAAGTTGTGAAATTCCCTCACCGCAACGGTGCATCACTGCACAGCTTTCATCATAGGCTGAAGACACAAGCCTTTGATACTTGAGATATCTTGAGATATCTAAATTTTAGGACCCATTCTGGTTGTATTTGTGATTTGTTCTGAACTGTTTTTAATGCTGTATTGTATATTGCAGTAGTACAACTCATGCAACGCGTTGGCGACTAATATACATACAATAATTACCAAAATAATTATACAGTCTTTATCAATCTTCTGAGAAAAATACAAAACCTTGTGTAAAGCCACAGAGACTTATGAACTACCCAACTTAAGATGAACTTATAATGTCTGGTTTCAATGGATTTTTCAAGTGCTTAACTCAGTCTTTTGTTTTCTTTATCTTTTTAGGTAAGGATTGTATATTGCGGCAACCCACCCTGGGATCCTCTGCTGTAAGGCAGGTAATAAATCTAGCTATCATCACCATCGCCACCACAGACAGCTTTCATGCCAGTTCATGGTACAGTGGTACCTCGGGTTAAGTACTTAATTCGTTCCGGAAGTCCGTTCTTAACCTGAAACTGTACTTAACCTGAAGACCACTTTAGCTAATGGGGCCTCCTGCTGCCGCAGCACCACCGGAGCACAATTTCTGTTCTCATCCTGAAGCAAAGTTCTTAACCTGAGGTACTATTTCTGGGTTAGCGGAGTCTGTAACCTGAAACGTATGTAACCTGAAGCGTGTGTAACCCGAGGTACCACTGTATTTGCCATCCTCTCATGTGACCTTCAGGTGCTATCATGTTCCTCCACCCCAGTCTTCTCTTCTCCAGGCTAAATATTGCTTTCACCTGCCACCACAAATGCAAACGAGGGTGGGCAGGTTATGTATTCAAGAGAGAGTCATCAGGTGACCATATATTGAGCAATGAACACTGCATGCTCCAAAATTCCACAAAAGCAGTTCACTATGATTCAATATTACTCTTAAAGGTAAAGGGACCCCTGACCGTTAGGTCCAGTCATGTCTGACTTGGGGGTTGCGCGCTCATCTCGCTCTATAGGCCAAGGGAGCCGGCGTTTGTCCGCAGACAGCTTCCGGGTCATGTGGCCAGCATGACTAAGCTGCTTCTGGCGAACCAGAGCAGCCCATGGAAACGCCGTTTACCTTCCTGACGGAGCGGTACCTATTTATCTTCTTGCACTTTGACGTGCTTTCGAACTGCTAGGTGGGCAGGGGCTGGGACCGAGCAACGGGAGCTCACCCCGTCACGGGGATTCGAACCGCCGACCTTCTGATCGGCAAGTCCTAGGCTCTGTGGTTTAACCCACAGCGCCACCCGCGTCCCTTAATATTACTCTTACCTACACACTTATAGGCATTATCAGATCAAGGATAACTGCCTGAGCAAATATTCCTCAGCTGGTCAGCCCAACCAATGCATTTTAACCTTTTTAAAAATCCCACTTACTTATTTTCTCTTCTGGAGTCCACTCGTCCTCATCTGTCTCCCATTTTTTCCCTCCTGTTTTCTTTGGCTTCCCTGCACATGGAGAAGAAACAGGGGTCAAAGTTTAGGGAGGAAATGTCTGGGGATAGGAAAAAAAGCATACGGGGGCAGGGAATACGAAGAAAATTTAGAAAACTACGCATGGCACAAAAATGTTTGGCAATGGCCATCGCTGAGAAAATCTCTCAAAACTTATAAGGAACAGGAAAAAAATAGATAAATTTTACACACCATGGTGGCTATTTAATGAAACTGTTCTCAAATTCTTACAGATTGCTTTGCATTGCTTTGCATTGCAATTTGAATACTGACTGAGGAATTCTATGGAATTCAAACCGTAGCGCAATAAAATACAATATGTAAGAAATAAAAGAATCAAATGTAATGAAATTAAAAAATCATATGGCACATTCCAATTGTTACAACCTGCAGGGGAAAAAACATTAAGTGATCCACCATGATTCTCAGCAGCAGGAGAGAAAGGCTGGCAACATCAACCCTGCCATATGGAAATCCCTTGAAGTGTCTGGAGACAGTCAGGTTGTGCATCCATAGCAGTGACTAGAGCAGGAATGATTAGTGGAAGGAGCACAGAGAAAAGAAACGCCACAGGGCAATTGCAGCAGCACAAGCCTTCATCTGCCCCAGCTGCAACAAAACATGTCTCTCCCATATCGGTTCTACAGCCACAGCAGGCACTGTAATTCTCCAACAGTTTGGCTTCACCTCCAAAGGTGCACTTCTCCATCGACTCCTGAGGCGGATGGATGTCAACAACAGCAATACGGAGGGAGGGGAGTTTGGGAACCACTGTATTAGATCACTCACGTCAACAAATAAAGGACTTTAAAATACCCTTGATTAGAATGTGTTGTCCACTGAACTTTAGTCACCAATGTCAATGTGTTGGTAACTCACTGACAGGCCTGGGCGGAATAATAATAATAATAATAATAATAATAATAATAATAATTTATACCCTGCCCATGTGGCTGGGCTTCCCCAGCCACTCTGGGCGGCTTCCAACAAAATATTAAAACACAGTAATGCATCAACCATTAAAAGCTTCCCTAAACAGGGCTGCCTTCAGATGTCTTCTAAAAGTCTGGTAGTTGTTGTTCTCTTTGACATCTGGTGGGAAGAAGAAGAAGAGTTTTGGATCTGATATCCCGCCTTTCACTCCCTTTGAGGAGTCTCAAAGCGGCTAACATTCTCCTTTCCCTTCCTCCCCCACAACAAACACTCTGTGAGGTGAGTGGGGCTGAGAGACTTCAGATAAGTGTGACTAGCCCAAGGTCACCCAGCAGCTGCATGTGGCGGAGCGGAGACACGAACCCGGTTCCCCAGATTACGAGACTACCGCTCTTAACCACTACACCACACTGGCATTCCACAGGGTGGGTGCCACTACTGAGAAGGCCCTCTGCCTGGTTCCCTGTAACCTGGCTTCTCGCAGTGAGGGAACCACCAGAAGGCCCTCAGCGCTGGACCTCAGTGTCCGGGTAGAACAATGGGCGTGGAGACGCTCCTATATATTGATATATCACCCAGAACCAGTATGAGGAGAAGACTGTGATGTCAGTTTCACTCAGTGGTATAGCGCTGGTGAAACCGCCACTGCTCCTGAGTCCCTCTGCTAGCAGCATCCTTTCCCTACTTCCCTGTATTGGTGCAGATCTCCTCCTTCGGGATTACCCACCTTTCCGTTCTTTGCTTTTCTCCTCTGTCCATTCCTCTGCATCCCCATCCTCCTCCTCTTCCTTGCTGCTGCCGGCACCCTTTTTCGGCTTCTCTGAAGCACAGCAAAGAGAAGCAGAGTTATCGTCATCAGGACAAACCTCTTGATGTTATTATGGACAGCGCAGTGCAAGCACGCTGGTGGGAACGAGCTGTCAGGTGGGCTTAGTGGCAAATGTGTGTTCCTACAGAAGTGCAGAAATAGTGGCTTATGCTCAATGGGGAGGCAGAAGCTCAGATGGCTCAGCGTTTGATTACACGGGGCAGTCTGGTAGGAAGAATCAGAGCTGCCCAACATGAGATCTGCTATACCTTGGGGGAAAGCATGCAAATCAAGCAAACAATCAACCCTCTCCTATTAAATTGAGAGTGGGGAACCTTGAGCCCAGGGGCCAAATGTGCCCCTTCAGATTTCTCTAGCTAGCCTTCAGAAAACCCCAGGAACCACAACCCCCCCGAGTGTTTTTGCCCTGCTGGAATGTGTCCTTGAACTCTGATGGGAGACTAGATGATGGGAGACTAGATGTGGGACAGGGAGGAGCGCATGTAGAAGCCAGCCAACTGCACAAAGATGAAATGTCTGTTTGTTACTCCATCCATTTTTGCCTTTCCGCCACTGGCAAAGTGCCCTTGGAACGTTATACATGAAGGGAATGTGGCCCCTGGGCTACAAAAATAGTTTCATACCCAGTCTCAATCGTCCCCTCTGTCTGCTGTCTCCTTACTTGGTTTGAGTTTCTCTTCATCCGTCTCCATCTCATCTTCCTCCTCTTTTTTGCTGGGGAATTGTTTGGGTTTCTGGGGTGGAAGACCATAATCCACTATGGGGAAGGGGAATAAGAATTAGTGAGGTGGGAGCACAGCTCCCAATGCAGGTTTCTCCCCAGAGGCACCAGCCTTCACAACTGTTTTAATACTTAAAGGTAAAGGGACCCCTGACCGTTAGGTCCAGTCCTGACCGACTCTGGGGTTGCGGTGCTCATCTCGCTTTATTGGCCGAGGGAGCGGGCGTACAGCTTCCGGGTCATGTGGCCAGCATGACTAAGCCGCTTCTGGCGAACCAGAGCAGCACACGGAAACGCCGTTTACCTTCCCGCCGGAGTGGTACCTATTTATCTACTTGCACTTTGACGTGCTTTCGAACGGCTAGGTTGGCAGGAGCAGGGACCAAGCAACAGGAGCTCACCCCGTCGCGGGGATTCGAACTGCCGACCTTCTGATCAGCAAGTCCTAGGCTCTGTGGTTTAACCCACAGCACCATCCGCGTCCCGTTTTAATACTTACCATCTCCATAATCTGGCAGTTCTAGCCCATCTTCGTAATGACTCCTGAAAGGGGGGGTGGGCGGCTCCTCAGGCTTCTCTACTGAGCAAAATAGATATGCCAGTAAAACTCTCGTATCCTTATCATAGCACAATTGCTCAAAGGTCCTAGGGATGAGGGCAGGGAAGCTCATCGGCAATCCCCACATTTACGGCTGATGCCCCATACTTGATGCTAATGGCTCCTAAAATTTAATATTCGGATTCATACAAATGTATGGTCGATAAGTGGGCACAAGAGGCAGGGCCTTTTCTGTAGCAGCACCTTTACCAGATTTCTTCAATCTTAAATTCCCTAGATGCTGTTGCATTACAACTCCCATCACCCTGGCTGGGGATGAAAGGAGCTGTAATCTGACCTGGAGTATGGAAAATATTTTGGCGCCATCAGAGCCCAGGGCCAGCCCTGCCTTGCAACAGATTGGAAGGATCTGCATTGGCAGCGAGGGTGTAAAAATAAAAGACCACACCAGGTTTATGAACCGTGTTCTAAAGCTTTGTAAACTAAGGTCCACTAAAACAGGGGAAGCAGAGTTTAAGGGGAAGATATGTGGTACAAAAGTTATAGAAAGTTCCCTTTGGAGTAAAGTAGGCTCAATTAAAACTCTATCTATTTCTCTGGACTTAAACAGACCCTCAACATTCTTGACTCTCAGGAGACTCTCTCAAGCAGCAGCACATCTGAGCTAGCCACCCCCGAAGCAAATGTCCCTATCGTACTGGTCTAAATCAAAATCAGATCTCAATATGCCGTTACCTGTAGAGCACCACAGCAGGTGCTCATTATGTTGCAAAATTCTGTCAGAAGACTAGTTTCTCCAGGCAAAATAACGTTATGTTGCCTGATTAGGACTTACTGAAATAGTCTGAGTCTTCTTTCCCATGCTCAGTGATTTATGCTTTCACTAAAAAAACTGATTTAAATCACACCAAAAGGCAAAACAAGGGAAAACAAGAAGCCACGATGTACCGCCAGGAGGGCAAATCACGTGCCACCTGTTCAGATCTGACTTCTTTGCAGTCCCGTTGGCTGTGTTCGTGCATAAGACTAAGCCATAGTTTGCTCAACCAAGTGTCATTGGTTTGAAGTTCCAGACTCATTTCAACAGACTAAATGGTTTCTTTTCTGCGTATGGAACTACGACACAGAGGAAAGGTAAGTGAGGATATGCCCTAAGCCACCGGTTTGGCTGAGCATTACTTCTGAACTAATGAAGGCTAATGAGCTATCCCTGATGATCCCATAGAAGTTTGTCTCACTAAAGACTGGGAAGAAATGAGTTCCTAAGCACCAAATCTGGCAGGTCAGAGGTCTGACAGGAGGCAGACCTCCAGCACATACAAGAAAGAGAAAGGGATTCCCCAGTCTGAGGCTTCAGATTGTTTCATCTGCTGCCTTTATTCTCTTGGAACGCTTTCCATTTCTTTCCCTCCTTACCCTGCCTCCTTCATTCCCTGCCCCCAACCTCCTAATCTCCCTCTATTTTCCAACATCCTGGCAAAACAGAAGCAAGCCAAAGGAAACGAACTGCATACTTGGCTTCTCCTCCTCCGTCTCCAACCTCGGTCGCTCAGGTTTCTTTTTCTTAGGTGGTTTGCTGGGTTTGTGCTGACGTCGGACGTATTCAACTGCAGGGGAGAAGGAAGAGGGTTTTGTCACTCGGGAAGAGTCCTGCGTTGCTGACAGAGAGATGGGGGTGCTTCCTCTCCCTCCACGTCACCCCGATGGTGCTTTGTCTTAGAAGAGGGCCTCTCAGAGTAGCCAGCAGGGTAGGGGGGTCTCACTGCACAGGGATGAGCAACCCATGGGCTGCCTATTTACCACGAGCCCAGCCATGGTCAGGGATGATGGGAGTTGTAGTCCAGCAACATCTGGAGGGATGCGGGTTCCCCATCCCTGTCCTATAGGAAGATGAGACATCAAGCAGGAGTGGGAGAGGTGGAATTGCTCTATCTGATGCAGCTTCTATGGAAGCTGATGCCATAAAGACGGTCAACGTAAGTGTGACTTCAGGGTTTTCCAACATGTAATAATGTGGACACCCTCATACAGCTGATCAGCGCTGCCCACAAGCTCCGCTTGCAAAGGAATAAATCAGGAGCTCACAGAGTAGTGCATGCTCTGGTTATCTCCCGCTTGGACTACTGCAATGCGCTCTATGTAGGGCTAACTTTGAAGGTTTCCCCACCCACTCTGGGCGGCTTCCAACACAATATTAAAATACACTAATGCCTCAAACATTAAAAGCTTCCCTAAACAGGGATTCCTTCAGATGTTGTCTAAAAGTCTGGTAGTTGTTGTTCTCTTTGACATCTGGTGGGAGGGCGTTCCACAGGGCAGGGGCCACTACCGAGAAGGCCCTCTGCCTGGTTCCCTGTAACTTGGCTTCTCGCAGTGAGGGAACCTCCAGAAGGCCCTCGGCGCTGGACCTCAGTGTCCGGGTAGAACGATGGGGGTGGAGATGCTCCTTCAGGTATACTGGACCGAGGCCATTTAGGGTTTAAAAGGTCAGCACCAACACTTTGAATTGTGCTTGGAAACAAGGCCATAGAAGAAAAAGCAGCAATAATTAGAGCAGGGGAAGCAGAATCTGCACCAATTCAGGCTTCGGAAACACAGGGAATGGCACTGGGAAGAAAGACACAGGACCAGTAAGTGGAGAGGAGGAAACTCTTTAGAGGCAGCAAAATATCTGATGCAACCAGAATTAATCTGGTGTCCTCCAGATGTTTTGGGTACTTTGTCCAAAATATATTGAGGGCTCCTCGTTGGGGAATGCTGTTCTGACGCATCACAGTGTGTCCATGCTGGGTACCAGCACAACCCACACAGTTTGGCTCTTGGAATACAGTTGCCACTTTTTCCCACTTCCTATAGCAATACTGGGAACTGCCTCTAGTTTTGCCCAGACCGTTCTCGGGTGGTAGAGAAATGCGCAGCAAAAATAATAACGGTGATGATTAGAGGTGAGAGAACATAAAGTCTCAACTGCACGACCCTCTTATAATAGCTGAACGCGAGAAATGACCACCCAGCCAAGCAGGACACTTTTCCGGTTGGCGGTCCTAATGCAGGGCAGCTCTGTTTGCTTTGGCAAAATCCCTCCCATCTGTCAAACATTATGCAGAAAGCACTGGGCATTTTCCACTCACATGGGCCAAAAAGAACCAGAGCACGTGCAAGGGGGAAATGGGTTGGGGATTTTTTTTGGAGGGGGGGGCGGTGCAGAGCTGTCTGGGCTGCTGAGCTGTGTCCTGTGAATTTCTCCACAAAGCTAACAGCTTATCAAGGCAATCCAGCAGCACTAATAAATCATTAAACAAAGGGGAGGGCTGCAACAAAATATTGCCCTGTGAAAGTGCTTTTGTAGAGGATTCTAGACATGCCATTCCACTCCCCCCCACCCTGTCCACGTTTTTTGGTTTCCCATCTGCCCCTTTCCCAATCCAACATTTAAGGAAATTATAATCTCATTGGGCATCCAGGGAGAAGGTTCTATCTCCAGGGAACATTTCCAAGCTTAAGAGCCAAACTAGAAGCACGAAATCTGCATGGGAAAAGCCTTTCGGTTAAAAAGAAAAGAATGCAAAACTTCCTTTTCTTCTGACAGTGGAAATGTGGTCATGCAGACTAAATGTCTAGCCAGTCTTCCTCTTCTGAAGTGCAGACGGAGAGAAGGAAATGGGCCATGTGTTGGGCACCTGAACCCAGGTGTGTGTGTTGCAGGCTGTGAAAGCACAATAAATGAAGCTCTGTCGGTGCAAATGACCAAAGGAGTTCAAGAACTAGTGGTTTCAAGATTGGATTACTGCAATGCACTGTATGAGAGCCTCCCTTTGTGCTCGATCCCAAATCCGTGGTTAGTACAGAATTCTGTAGCACAGCTGTTGACAGGAGTGAGAACCTTTGCTCAGAGACTTGCATTGGTTCTCCATTTGCTACCAGGGCAAGTTCAAGGTGTTATTATTGGCATTCCTCCCTGAGTTTTGCAGAGAGGAAATTCCCCGCCTCAAATGACAAGCAGAAAACGCAGGATCAGACCATGTCACAGCCATAGAAATGGGGAAACAAAGAATTGGCTGTCCTGGAATTATGGTTCCTCACTGCTTAAAAAGGTAAAAAAGATAAAGGACCCCTGGACAGTTAAGTCCAGTCAAAGGTGACTATGGGGTTGAAGCGCTCAGCTCACTTTCAGGCCGAGGGAGCCAGTGTTTGTCCACAGACAGCTTTCCGGGTCATGTGGCTAGCATGACAAAACCGCTTCTGGAGCAATGGAACACCATGACGGAAACCAGAGCACATGGAAATGCTGTTTATCTTCCCACTGTAGCGGTACCTATTTATCTCCTTGCACTGGCATGCTTTCGAATTGCTAGGTTGGCAGGAGCTGGGACAGAGCAACAGGAGCTCACCCCATCGCGGGGATTCGAACCGCCGACCTTCTGATCGGCAAGGCCAAGAGGCTCAGTGGTTTAGACCACAGCACCACCCGCATCCCTCTCACTGCTTATCCACCCACAACAACAGGATGCCCCACCCCCTAAGGAAAGGAACGGTTACTAAAGGCAAGTAGGGCAAGTCAGCAGCAACAGCACCGTACAGTCCTCGTAGTCTTCCCGCTCAATCTGCTCGTTGTAATCCAGCGTGGGCGGCTCGACCTTTCCAGGGGTCTCTAGATAAAGAGAAGAAGCACAGTCACTTCATGGGTCTAGGACCTCTCTAGGACATAAGGGCTTTTAAGAGAAAGGGCTGTGTTATGTACTGAGTTGAATAGGATCCAAATTGCAGCAGTCTGATTGGTCCAAAACAATAGGATTCAGTATGCAGCAGTCTGATTGGTCCTAGAACAATAGGATCCAAAATGCAGCAGTCTGATTGGTCCGCAGGAGCCACCCAACTCCAGGTGGAAGTGAATCTGTAACCTGATTGGCCTACAGCAGAATCCTGGAATTAGCCAATCACGTGGGGCCCATTGTGTAAATAATGTATATAAAGCAGACATTTTGGGGGAACTTCCATTTCTCCTCACTACTATGAGCTGAATAAAGAGCATGAAATCCACACTCGACCCCAAGTATATTTCAGGCTGCTTTGATTAAATGAGTCTGAGTCACTTCACAGCTATACTCAAGAGCCAAAACAGCCCTGTAATGTTGCAGCCCAAGAAAGACGGTGATCCCCTTCTAAGAATCCCAGATTTATGCCTGTGCTTCTTATGGTGAGCAAGCTACTCTTGGGAGCCACCAGGAACCTGCAGTTCTGCATGCCAGTGAGTCATGGATTACAGGAACCCAAGTCTGAGGGATGTCTGGAAGAGATGGGCATGTTTAGCCTGGAGAAGAGCAGACTAAGTCGGGGGGGGGGGGAGCAAGGTAGCTCTCTTCAAACATCCCAAGGATTTTCATGAAAAAGACAGAGCAGACTCTTCTCCCATCTCTCTTCCAATTCTATTTTTCAAGGCCGGAGCCAGGGGCGGAGGAAGAGGGGGTGGTGGGGGCGGTTCATCCTGAGTGTCACCACTGAAGGGGGTGACAAAATGGCGGGCGGCACTCACCTGGGAGTGACACAGTGGCTTGGGCACCTGCAGGCTCCACGCTGCCCCAAACGGTCTGCCCGCCACCTCCCCCTCAGTTGTAGGGCGGCTGAGTGGGAGGAGGGAGACAGACTCCTCAGAAGCCCAGTGGAGCATCCTGTCCCAGCTCGCCCTGCCCACCCCTAGGCGCAGGGCACGTGCGCCACCCCAGGCACCCGGTCAGCTTGCTCCGCCACTGGCTGGAGCATCCCCATGTCAGTTGAAGGTTCCTAGGCTCTGGGAAGAGGCTGGCCCTTGGTTGCTTCTGACTTGGAAGGATTGTGGTCCTCTAGATGTTGTTCATCTCCAACTCCCATCAGCCCCAGCCAGCATGGTCAAGGGTCAAGGATGGTGGGAGGTGTGGCCATAGGCTCTCCTCAGCCTTGCTACAAAGCTTCAAGGAGAAGCTGGAACATGGCCTGACAATAAAAGTCAGCCCTGGCTCGTGACTCTTGGCTCTCCCTCCATGCCTGCTTATGGCTCAGTGTTGGCAGCCACAGAACAGTAAAATGAATTTCTGCTTCTTGTATTGAGTTACAGTGAATTTAGTGTGTGCTGCTGGACTGGGCACAGAATTATTTTAAAATCTTTTAAAGCTAGCAGCATGCCGGCTTGGTCCTCAGATGCTAGCACACAGTGGTTGCTTTCCCACTGGTCGGAAAATTTAGAGTAGGAAAGGGCTGGCCAACATTAGGAGCCACCTAGGCTGTGCTGCCATTTAAGGCTAGCAGATCTGGGCAAACAACCCACCCTGGACATTGGGCATTGACTCACCTGGCCGGCTCTCGTGGCTCCAATGATCTCTTCCAGGCTCTTGTGGGTCAGTTGGGGGTTCATATAAGTCAGCTGGAAGAAATCAAATGAGTAAAATTAACAAGGACAATAGTCAGGCCCTCAAAGAGTTCTGTTCCTGCTCTGTATGGATAGAACTAAGCTGCTCACATTCGGCTTCTACATTAAGAACATAGGAATATAGGAGAAGCCAGCTGGATCAGACCATTGGCCCATCTATTCCAGCATCCTGTTTTCACAGTGGCCAGTCAGGTGCCTAAGGGAAGCCTGAAAGCTGGGCATGAGCACAACAGCATGCTGCTCACCTGCGATTCCTAGCAACAGGTATTTAGAGACGCAATGTCTTTGGCAGCGGAGGAAAAGCAGTCACCTTGTTCTCCATGATTTTGTCTAATCCTTTTTTTAAAGGATTCCCTAGTCGATCTATGAGGTGCTTATACATTAAAGCTTCCTTGTCCCACTGATGGTAAACCCTGGTCCAATGCCTCTCCTCCCCAGTGGACTTACCCTTGTTCATTCCTGATCTGTGCCCATGTGCTCCCGTGATCAGCTCTCCTCCTTCCCCAGCTTAGACGTTCCTCTGCCCCATAGTCCCACAAGCACCCTCTCTCCCCATGTCCCGCATGCTGACTTGCTCTTACTGTGATGCCTGCTTGGATCCTGTTTCTCATCCCACCGTGGTTCCGTTGGTTCATCTGGGAAAAGAGCTGCAGAATAAAATGAAATAAAAGAGCTAGGTCAGAGATTATAAGGAAGCAAAGACACAACAACTGGGAAGAAGGGAAGGCAGAAAAACTGACTGAACAAAACAGACAGACAGACAGACAGACAGACAGACATATTTTGTTTCAGTCCGTAGTTCCAGGCAAAAGTCTTAGGGCCAAAGTAAATATGGCTGTGGATGCCCACGACTCCTCCAAGGGCATTCAGTTCCTAGGAGAAAAATTCGTAGTCCTCAGTGCATGCAGAAAGCCAGGGCTTATCCACCCAGCAATTCAGTTTTCCTCTAGATTGACAATTGCTCCAATTTAAGACTAAAGAGAGGGATTACTCTGGGAAAGCAGCAAAAGGGAAAACCACTCAGACCCATGCCTAGACAGTGAGAGTCAAGCGGAAAACTGTTTTCTAGACACGGGACAAGCAGAAGCCCCCCGTCACTACCTGACAGACCAAGGCTGGAGTGGGAGCAGCAGTGTATTAGTTTAGGAGCCCAAAACGATGGTGAAGACCCTTAGGGAGGGGTGGAGAAATAGAGTCAGTGTGATTTAAGTTGGACTTGCTTATGAAGCTATACAGGGGAGAGGGAAAGGGAGAGGGGTAGCACAAAGTTTTCAGAGAGAGTGAAGATAATCTGTGACGGTTAGCAGATTCCCTGGCAGACCAGTAAACATGACGTCATCTGAAAGGGAAGAGGAAAAGCATCACTTGGCCATGCTCCCTGTAAAAACATATGCACTGATCTGATCTATGGAAGGGGAGATGCCATAGCTCAGTGTTAAGAGCATCTGCTTTGCATGCAGAAGGTCCCAGGTCCAATCCACAGCATCTCCATGTAAGACTGGAAAAAGCTTCTGCCTAAAACCCTGGAGAGCCAGTCAGTGTAGGACACTGAGCTACATGGACCAATGGTCTGATTCAGTGTAACAGTTTCCCAGCTGCTTGGCAACTGCTCCCAAGTCTAATAAATATGAACAACACCCCTCTATCCTATAGACTAAAACCAAAACTGGCCAATTAACAAATTATAACAGCGAGTAAATAATCACCAACTCCCCTTAAATGTGTTGCTCTTTGCGCTACAAGGGTGTCAGCTGCCTGTCATGAATTCAATAGCATTCAGTGCCTGACATATTTATGCTTCACATAGCTGTCAACTTTTCCCTTTTCTTGCGAGGAATCCTATTCAGAATAAGGGAATTTTCCTTTAAAAAAGGGAAACGTTGACAGCTATGATACTTCAGTTCTATAATACTGGGGCAGGGCAGGGAGGAGCAGGTAGGCCTCAAGATGCAGTTTGATTCGAACTCCCACCAACCCCAGCAAGCATGGCCAATGGTCATGGAAGATGGAAGTTAGTGTTCAAATACATTGGGGGGGGGGGGAGAATGAGTTCCCCATTTTTTATTGATTGTAGACCAGTTTAGTGGCAATGGCTTGCCCCAAAGAATTATGGGGTCTGCAGTTTGTTGCCTATTTTTGTTTCCCCCAGGCCAGAGCTACAGTTACGAAGAGGAGACTAAGTTTCTGTATTAACATGTAGAGGGGCCCCTGTTATAAAAAGTTATGATAATTACAGTTTATCTGTTTCGTTAGCCATGTTCATATTTTGTTTGCTGGTGCCTTATATCTTCAGTCCCATTTAAAATAACCCTTTTATGGCACTCCAGTTAGCTGGGGTCTGGGTGCTGCCACCATTTTAGCTTCCCACAATGCCCCTGGCGTAGTGTTGCTCTAGGGCATTATGGGAATTTTAAATGGCAGTGGTTGGCAGATCCACCTGCCTGGCTCTCATTGGAGCGTAATATCTAACAGTATTAAACCGGTACAAATATAATTTAGAATATTACAAAAATCCATATGGCACGCCATCCCCCTCCTCCAGTTTCCCCCCTTGTCCCTCGGGCATCTCTTTAGCATCTTCTTCCTCAGTTCCTTTTCCTTGGCTTCCCTCCCCACTCTCTCGGACAACAACCCATTTTTTATAAACTGTCTCTTCCCTAGAATCCTGTGCTTTTCTCCCTTCCCTCCCTCTTCATTCTATGACCTCACTGGCGCATGCATTACACATGCATACCAGATGGACCTACCAAATAGCTACACTTCCTCTCCATCCCTTGCCCCATAGATCTCAAAATATATCATCATTACTCCTCTATAGGGAAACACGTACTTTGGACTATAAATACTGCAATACTTATGAATTGGCGTAGTGTGTTGAGGGCAGGGAGGGCCATTGTAGGAGGAGGAGTTTGGATTTGATATCCCGCTTTATCACTACCAGAAGGAGTCTCAAAGCGGCTAACATTCTCATTTCCCTTCCTCCCCCACAACAAACACTTTGTGCGGTGAGTGAGGCTGAAAGACTTCAGAGAAGTGTGACTGGCCCAAGGTCACCCAGCAGCTGCATGTGGAGGAGCGGGGAAGCGAACCCGGTTCACCAGATTACGAGTCTACCGCTCTTAACCACTACACCACACTGTACCGTGCACACAATCTCTCTGTGTGTGTGCGTGTGCGCGTGTGCACAAACCAGGTGCTCCCCTCCACAGAGATCCCTGTCGCGTCCTGGAAAGGCTGCCCAAAAGGGAATGCTGCTGACCTCAAGCCAGGGGTGTTCCAAGGCGGGAGTGGTTGGGTGGCCACCCCGGGTGCCATTCCAAAGGGGTGTGTGACAAAATGCAGACCCCCGATTGGCGGCACCTCCCGGGCCATGCGCTGCTCATTGCACACACCCCCCGGGAGGCATGCCACGCCCCTCGCAGGAAGCGTGCCATGCCTCTGGGATGAGCACCGCTCCGGGTACCAGAGCAGGTTGCTCTGCCTCTGCCTCAGGCTAAAAAAAAGTCCCTTGCACCTTTCTTTTGTTGTCTGCCCTGGAAACCCTGGGCCTATGAATAGTGGAATGGGCTTTACATGTCATTGTCCGAAGCATGTTCTGGGAAAATTTCAGGGTTTATTTGCTTTAATCAAGAGTTTCTGAAGAAGGATGATCAAGAAATGCAATAAAAAAGACCTCCCTGAAGAAGAAGAAAGGTCCCTTGCCCATGCAATATGACTAATGGGAGAAAGAAACAGGAACTTACATTCCCCGCCTTCTTCATTCACTCGTGAATGCTCATCTTCCCTCCCATAGGGAGAGTGAAATCGGGATGAATCGGGCACTCCGTAGCCATCTTCCTCCCTGGCTGGTGGTGGGCTCAATGGCCTTTCTGGGAAGTGGTACCTCTCCTCTTCCTCATATGGTTGGACAGGAGGAGAAGGCTTCTCTGTTCTCTTCCCCCCTGATGGTTTCTTGGTGGCTTTGGGAGATTTCTCCTTAGGTTTCTTGGTTGCCTTTGGACGCTTCTCCTTTGGCTTTTTGGTGGGCTTGGGGGGCTTCTCCTTCTTAGGACCCTTGGGAGGCCTCTCTTTAGGCTTCTTGGTTGGTTTGGGAGCTTTCTCCTTTTTCCCTTTCTTGGGCTTCTGTCTCACGGGCTCCTGTGTCCCTGCAGGAAAAGAAACATGGTCAGTCCCTGTCAATTTCTGTTTTTCTCGGTTTCTCATTTTTTCCAATCTTAACTTCAGTGCTCTCCAATTCCACAGCAGTTTGCAGTAGTAGTAGTAGTAGTAGTAGTAGTAGTAGTAATAATAATAATAATAATAATAATAATAATAATAATTTATTTATACCCCGCCCATCTGGCTGGGTTTCCCCAGCCACTCTCGATGGCTCCCAACAGAATATTAAAAACATGATAAAACATCAAACATTAAAAACTTCCCTAAACAGGGTTGCCTTCAGATGTCTTCTAAAAGTCAGATAGTTGCTTATTTCCTTGACATCTGATGGGAGGGCGTTCCACAGGGCGGGTGCCACTACCGAGAAGGCCCTCTGCCTGGTTCCCTGTAACCTCGCTTCTCGCAGTAAAGGAACCGCCAGAAGGCCCTTGGAGGAGGACCTCAGTGTCTGGGCTGAACGATGGAGGTATACTTCAGGTATACTGGGCTGAGGCCATTTAGGGCTTTAAAGGTCAGCACCAACACTTTGAATTTTGCTCGGAAACATACTGGGAGATAATGTATGTTGGATATGTGATTGTAATATTTTAATCTGAAAAACCAAATAAATGGGGTTTTTAAAAAATTAAATAAAAATAGAGTGCTGTGATGTTCTCTGCGCGGTGCTGCTTTTGAGTAACAAAACGTTCACGGAGAAGCAGCGGTATCCCCCCAGTCATGTTGGACACATCCTCTGGGAGATGGTGCAAACTCAGAGGGTGTGTGATGGCCTGGGATTTGGACTCGGAGGCTGAAGCTGAGGAATCCCAGCCTGCACAGGATTCCCTGCCTCCAGAACCAGCTGAGCCGGGGCTGGGGCATGAGCCTGAAGGGTCCTCACCTGTGCTGGACCCTCAGGTGCAGGCATCAGCTGAGTCTGCTCTGGCTCCTGAGGTGATGGAGGACCCACTGCCTGCAGGTGCTCCACTCTCAGCCCCGTCAGAGGAAGCTGAGGTTGCCTCTGGGTCCGGTAACCCTCCAGCCTCTCCTGAGCTGCAGAGGCTCAGGGCAGAGAGGCAGAGGGAACTAAGGTCCTGCAGGAGGAAGGAGTGCTCAACTCCAGGCCAGGAGAGGCGAGTCACCAGAGGATCGGGGCTGCTCCATGCCTCGGGGCAGATAAAAGCCGGCCAGCCCCAGTCCCAAGTTGTGGGAGCAGCATTGTTGGTTGCTAGTTCCTGCCTGAACCCTGTCCTGCTTTCCTGCCTGAGCTCCTGACCCGCCCTGGCTCCCTGCTTGCAAGCCTGTTCCTGACTTCACCAGACTCCCTGCCCTGCACCCAGCTTCAGCTACTACGGACTGCCTCCACGTTGCACCTTTGACCACGGACCGGGCTTGGACCTCACCTCTTGGGTAACCCACATGTCAGGGAACTGCCATCAGGTCAGAGGCGAGAGGTGGAAGGGCAGTTGTGTTATAGGGAACCTCCGAAAATCTTGCAAAGACCCACCTCCAGTGGAGAGGAGGTGCAGCAACCAGGGATGCTAGGGAGAGCCTCAACACCGAGCCTGAGCAAACAGGAGAGGAGGGAAGTACCCCTTTGCCAGCGCCCACGCTGCTCAGTAGGTTTCGGCACAGGGAGGGGAGAAGAAGGTTGGGGGTCACGTGACTGTTATGCTGGGGGAGGTACAAAGACCGACCACTCCCAGATTCTGCTAGCGATTGAGCCAGACATGAACTTGCGATGCTCTTCACTGTAAATAGTTTGCACTAAGAATAAAGCCTGGAAAAGACAGGTCGGAGTCTTGCCTGTTTGCTCTTGAGCAACCACACCATCACCTGACACCACGGGACCAGCACAGGGGGTCACATGAGCAAAGACAGACCAGAGGGTGTGAGTGTGAGGAGAATCAGGGAGGAGGCCCCACTGAGAGCAGCTTGACCAGACCACCCCCAAACAAACAATATCCAGGATTCATGCAGTAATAAGGACATAAAAGAAACGCTCTGCTGGATCAAACCCAGAATCCTGTTCTCTCAGTAGCCAACCAGAGACCTATGGGGACCCCATAAGCAGGACCTGAGTGTGAGACCACACTTCCCAGCAATTAATATTCAAAGCCATAATCCCTCCGATGATGGAGACAGAACATAGCCATCATAGCCGGGACTGCACACTGATTTTTCTGAAAACTTTTCTTTCCATCCTCTTTTCCCTGACACATGAAATTTGTGCATATGGGGCTCTCTTCTGTGAGTCAGAGGCCCCGTCTCTAAAGGAAGGCCAGTGAGTAAGGGCTATGTCACTTCACAGCCCCACAGACAGCCGCAGCCTCATTCCAAAGTTCTGAGCACCAGCAATTCCTTGGTCTGTGGGGCTGAGCACACAGCCTGTGGTACTTGTACCCTCTGGGCAGTGAGCTGCAAACCAACCCAGCGCCGGTGCCAGGAGTGGAATTCCTTCTGTGCTACCACAGGGACTGTCTTTCGCTCCGGGGAGAGCAGCAAACTGCTTGGGCTCGCAGACCATCTCTCTTGGGCCAGGCCATTTCTCCCACCCACCCACATGTGGGGAAGAGAGGCACGAATTCCTGCGCTGCCTGCCCTCAGCTTCCTCTGCAAGCAGCGGTCAGCGGCCTCGCTGGAAAGAGGGAGCAATGACCTCCTTTCTCGTTCGCCACAACTTGCTTCCACCACAGCGAAACAGAATGCCAAGCTTCCCTTCATTCTCTCTGTTTGCCAGAGCTGGGCATTTTGCTGCCTGAGACGAAATGCAAGATGGCACCCCCCCCCCCCCGGGTCACCTATAGAATTTAGCTGGACCAGAAGTTGCTCCCACAGTGACAACAGGATAGTGTCCTCACCCATACATTTAAAACACTCTTTAACAGCTTCATCCAAAGAATTCTGGGAGCTGTTGTTTGTGAAGGGAGCCGAGAGATCTTCAGAGACCCCTCTTCCCCTCACACAGCTACAATTCCCAGAGTGGTTTAACAAACCATTCTTCCTCGCAGGGAGCTTTGGAACTGCACCTCTGTGAGGGGAATAGGGGACTGCTAACCTAACTCTCAGCAGCATTAACAAACTACAGTTCCCAGGATTCCTTGAGTGGAAACACGGCATAATAGTACTTTATGGTGTGGTTGTGGCTTACGAGCAAGCTAGTTTACAGAGAATGGAGGCTTATTGCCTCCCTACCCCCAGTAAAATGCAGATGCCTCTCTTTACCCAGCTGTAGTGCCTGGCTTGCCTTCCCTTCATGTTGTACTGATCTCCAGCTGAAAAACATGTCAAAGCATGTGAGGACCGCATGGCAATTTGCCTCTTTTATATTTTCCCTTTATAGCTTAACTACAGGTTCAACTTTTTTTTTTTTTTTTAAAGACTTTTTGAGTGAGAAGCACTAGCTGGCCTCTAGCTTATCTGTGATCCCCAGTGGCAACTCTGCATTATTCCCTTTTTTTGCTATGTCACCTATCAAGCAACAGTCATTCACAACCTCTCTTCCTGCCAGGAGAGAAGTACCATCCCTGTAGCTGTGCTAAATCCACACATGAACAGAAGACGAGATGGAGTCACAGCTCTTGAAAGTTTTCCTCCTGTAGCCAAGCCGCAAAGCAAGGATATCTTGTTGGAGGTTGTGCTGGGAGCCAAACCACATTTCCAGTGACTGGAGAATAGAAATCTGAATGGAACGCAGAAGAGCATTGGGGGGAACCCTTATTTTTTTGAAGCAGAATGTACAAGTGTCTGCATTCAAACAGACTCATTTTCAGGTGTGACACCATGCAAGGAAAAATCTAGGCTGCATGCACAAATGTCCCCTGTTCCTCACACAGATGCCAACCTGCGTGATTCTGGTTGTGTAATTCCAAACGTCGATTCCTAGGCTAGTTCACTGGCTCCTGCAAAGCAAGAAGCATGACTGGTAGATGATGGTACCTTACGACCAATGTTAGAGGGGCAGACAAAAACACAAATACAACGGTATTTGGACAAGAAAAGAAGGAACTACGAATGTAACTGTCACAGGAACATATCTGAAAGTCTCCATTTTCAGGGTCTGGAAGAATGGGCCTGGTCCTGGATGGTGGCATGTGGAGTTGTTTTAGAGGTCTATGTTAGAAACGTGTGGCATGTCCATATTATCTCTGTGTAAATGGCATGACAAATACGCACATTTGTCATATCAGATGTATGGCACAAGTGCCAGTTCTGTTGCCAGAACACATTGATAAGTCAACAAGCATCTCTCAGCCCCTTGAGTGTCCCTATTTTTCAGAGACAGTCCCGGATTTACAGAAGCTGCCTCGGTTTCTGATTTGATCCCAGAATGTCTCTCTTTTCCTTGGGGCATCCTTATTTGACGTCCCTATTTCCATCGCAGAAATGTCGGAAGGTATGATCTCTTGCAGGGAATTGTCTCTGTGTAGGTTTCCTGGGTCTGTGAGACGCCCGGGAAAGCTGGGCACAGAATCCTGGTGAAGCAGCCTAGAAATCTGTTAGTGAGTGTAGTGTGGCATAGTGGTTAAAGTGTCAGAGTAAGATTTGGGAGGCCCAAGTTGAAATCCCCACTGAGTCTCTATCTCTCAGCGTCACTTAACTCAGGAAGGGAGAGCCTTGTCATTAGGCAGAGTGAGGCAACCACCTTAGGCAGCAGATGCAGGCAGACAGTGGTGGCAGACCCTCAGCCATTCCTGTTGTGCCCCCAGTCGTACCCCCATTAGGGGGGTGCAGGACAGGTTGCAACACCCATGTGTGCCACTGTTCTGCATCACTACAACTGACCTGCCGGCCTCAGGTGCCAGCATTGAAATAAGGTTCGATTCTCCATGGCTTTGGAACATGGAATGGAGGGGACCCCATCTTGACATTCACTACAGGCAGAAAAACAATATTGAGCTGGGTTGTTGATGGGATAAAATGGGGAGTGGAAAATGATGTGCACTGTCTTGATTTTTCCTTGTAGGAAAGGTGGACTATGCATGTAATATAGTCTCTCATCACTGCTAGGGACAGTTTCTCCTGATATTCTCTCAAGCTAGCTGTCAGGTGAGAGTTTCCTGCAGCTCAACACATGTAAACCATGAGCAGAACCCCTTGATAGTCATAATGTTTGGGGATTAGCTGACTTGAATTTAAATTCTTTCATCCTTCTGCCGACCTGGGGGCTCTGCTCCCGCTCTGGCTGCGCACAACAAAGCATGAGCAACCGCTGGCGCCAAAGAACACAGGAAGCGCTTTCAGTAAGGATCAGATAAACCATGCAGTGCAGGTGCAAATCTGCACCTGGCAAACATCAGCTACGTACAGGAAAGCTGCTTTGGGATGCAGTTCATCTTTGCTGCTTGGGGGCAATTCTTGCATATTTATTCCTCACTAAAACAACCCATTCCTGCCAACCTAGCAGTTCGAAAGCACGTCAAAGTGCAAGCAGATAAATAGGTACCACTCCGGCGGGAAGGTAAACAGCGTTTCTGTGCGCTGCTCTGGTTCGCCAGAAGTGGCTTAGTCATGCTGGCCACATGACCCGGAAGCTGTACGCCGGCTCCCTCGGCCAATAAAGCGAGATGAGCGCTGCAACCCCAGAGTCAGTCACGACTGGACCTAATGGTCAGGGGTCCCTTTACCTTTAAAACAACCCATACTATTTCCTCTCATAGAATCACAGGGCACATGATATAGCAACTTTCTAAAACTAAGTTGATCTAACTCTGGTTATTGTCTGGGTGCGATATTGCCTGCTAAACCTATGCTTGCTGCTTTTTTGAATTTCCAGGAAGGAAATTAATGATAATATTTTACTAAATATTTTTAAAAAAAACAGGCACAGGCCAGAAAACAAGTGTACCTTTCTCAGCTTACCCCATCCCCTCTCCTTCATTAAATCCAGAATACTGCACAATCCTAGATAAAAAAATGACAGACCTATGAGGTTATACACGTGGACCTTTCTGCCCCCTGCTGGGAATCATTATTAAAACGGTTAAGTTATCCTGAGTGTTGAGGAACTGATAAACACATGCACACATCCTTGGTCAAAAGCCTTTGCACAAATAGCAGGCAATAACAATAATGAATAGTGGGGGAAAATCTTGGGCCTTCCTCCCACTGCAGTGCTATTTTCCAAATATTTAAAAATCTATCTCAAGGCTTACAGATAATATGGGTAGCTTTAATACTGCAGATTTTCTTTCAAACTGGTATGTGTGTTCACTTTGGCTTTGTGTCTGGGATCCTTAGAAGTATGCCCCACCACACGCTTCGAAATAATAATAATAATAATTTAACACTGATGAAGTAGATTCTTAATGGTGGAACCATTTACTAAAAATTATTCTGTTAAGCCTTGAAGATGCCACAAAACTCCTTGTTGTTTCTGCTGTGGCAGACCAACAAAGCTAGTCTGCTTCACTGTGGGTGAACCACACATCACAATTCCTAAAAGAAAGGAAGGGCCAATGCTCAGTCTTAGAGCATCTGCTTTGCATGCAGAAAGTCCCAAGTTCAATTCCTGGCATCTCCAGGTAGGGCTGGAAATGCTCCCCTTCTGAAACCCCAGAAAACCTCTCCCAGTCAGTGTGTGGACAATACTGAGCTAGATAAACCAATGTTTTCTCTTCTCACCCAGCAAGTGAGCTCTTTCCCCCTCCAAGCACTTGATGTACACAGAGTAAAGGTAAAGGTAAAGAGACCCCTGACCATTAAGTCCAGTCCAGACGACTCTGGGGTTGCGGCGCTCATCTCGCTTTGCAGGCCAAGGGAGCCGGCGTTTGTCCGCAGACAGCTTCTGGGTCATGTGGCCAGCATGACTAAGCCACTTCTGGAGAACCAGAGCAGCACACGGAAACGCCGTTTACCTTCCCGCCGGAGTGGTACCTATTTATCTACTTGCACTTTGATGAGCTTTCAAACTGCTAGGTGGGCAGGGGCTGGGACCAAGCAACGGGAGCTCACCCCGTCACAGGGATTCGAACCGCCGACCTTCCAATTGGCAAGCCCTAGGCTCTGTGGTTTAGACCACAGTGCCATCCGCATCCCTACACAGAGTAGGCACACAAAAAAGGTAGGCAGAGCTGGCCTACCACATGTAACTGAAGTAAGACACATTGCTTTCTAAAGAGAGCATGCCCTGCCAAATTGTTAAGTCCTGAGTCTTAAACTACTGCACCATTTCCTAGAAGCACATTGTAATGGCTATACAAAGCTGCCTCATACCAAGTCAGACCAATGGTCCCTCTTGCTCAGGTCTCTACACTGGAAGAAGCAAAGATCACCAGTGATGCTTCAACATCTTTACGGACTCACTGTTAAAACCGTGTTCATGGAAGACAATCTTACTCGGCTACGAGTGATCGCCAAAGAAGAAGACACTGACTGGCAGCAGGTCTCCAGCGTTTTTAGGCTGGGGGGGTGGTCCTCTCCCAGTCCTACCTAGAGATGGTGGAGAATGAACCTGACACTTTCTGCATGCAAGCAGATGCTCTACCATTGATACACAGCCCCTCCCAGCAGCTTTCTGGGGTCTCAAGCAGAATCTCTTTCCCGTCACCTGCCACCTGAAATTCTTTTAACTTGAGATGCTCAGGATCAAGCCTGGGGCCTTCTGAATGGAAGAGAACACGTCCTTCTGCTGAGCTATGGCTCTTCCCTGGGGAACCCACCCATCCCACAATAGATGATCTCGCTCACCTTCTTCCAGTTCTGTGGGGGCTTTGCCCCTTTCTGCAGGGTCCAGCCTTCCTTGGTTTTCGGGAAGCTCCTCGCCCAAGGCCACTTTCTCAGCCTCCCGACCTTCTGTGTCTTCCTCCTCAACCTCCCCCAGGAAGCCTTTCAAGAACTCCTCGATTTCATGGTCGGTCAACACCGACTGCGCCTCCACCTGGGCAGGGTTGAAGGGGCACAGAAGCCCCACCAGAAGGCAAAGTGCCAGTGCCAGTGGGCAGATAGCTCCCATCCTTGCAGGTGGTGTTTTAGGGCGAGGGGAGGTGTATTGGGGAGGTGTAGGGGAACCCTCAGGTTTCTCTTCTCACCTGTGGCAGGAGCTGGAGGTGGGGTTTGAGGTGGGGTGGAGTTTGCTGGGGGGCCCTCTTCTATATGGGGGCTATCTTCTGCCACGTCAGAGGATATGGGGAAACAGATTGCTCCTCTGGAAGAAGGGGGGCAACTGAAGGCAATGACTTTTTTAAATGGGGGGGGGGAACAGGTCAAGTAGGTCACTTTGCTGGTGGGAAGGGCTGGCTGGAGGGGGGCTGCTATTTAAGAGGGGACTGGAAAGGAGGGGAGCTCAGAGGTTGGGAGGAAGGGAGAAGAAAAGGCGCGCGGGGAGACAGAGAAAGGAAGAGATTTGAGGTTTTGGGGTAACTGGGGTGACGGGTGTAAATCAAGGGGCTCCGTCCTGGCTGCAACAAGCGATGGGTCCGTCAGAGGCTCCCCCAGGGGCTTGCAAATCCAGGAAGGGGGTTTTCTCAGCAGCTGGAAAAAAGCGCTGGCGAAGGCAGAGAAGGACCGTCGTCTAATCGAGACCAGAAGCGCCTGCGGTTTCCGCGACGGCGTTTGAAGTATCCGAGGAGAGCGAAGACCAGACAGATACTGTACGAAGTTTCCTCTTCCCCGCTCCCCTCTCTCCCAATGCCCAGGCAGTCCGAAGGCAAGTCCTAAGAAAGCAACCGAGAAAAAGGGGAGAGCTGGAGGAGGAGGAGGAGGAGGAGGAGGAGGAGGAGGACGGAAATTGCCCGGAACTCCCCAGGCGGCTGCGCTCCCCTCTCAGCGTCTGGCAAAACTCATCTCCGCGCCTTCCCTGCCCGCCCCTTCGGAGATCTCCAAGAAGAAGAAAGAGCGAAGCTCGTGTTCGCGGTTTCTCCGGCTCCTCGCGAATCTCCAGCGAGTCCTTTCGATCCTGGGCAAGGGAGGTTGGGGGTGGGGAGTGCAGGGGCTATTCCTGAGGGGGGGGGCTAGAGGGGGGTGTCGTAAGGCGGCTTATCTTCGCGGGGGTGGCGGAGCTGGCTGAGTGGTCCCGTCTCCTCTTTGTGCGCAAATAAAAATGTGGCAGTGAAAGCGCTCCTGGCAAGAGCCGCGGGGAACCTCCTGACCCACTGAAAAGAAAAGCGAGTCGGATCTCCACCCCCAGCCCTTCTCTCCCTCCTACCTCCACCCACCCACCCCAGCATCCCATTTCCAGAAAAGAAGGGTGGATCTAAAGCTGCTTCAAGCGACGCGTAGACAGAACAAGGGCACCAAAATATACACGGGATCCTGCCAGGCGCGCGCGGCGGGAGGCGGCGGTCGTCACTCTTTCTCATGGTTAATATAATATTATTATCGCTTGCCCTTCATAAGAAGGTCCCTGCATGGATGCAGAAGGCAACATTAAAAAGAAGCTCAGAACAAATCACAATCACAACTGGAGCGGGCCCTCGAGATATGTCCCGGAAGGGATGCGTCTCCAGCAAATGACAAAAACTGTGCCATGGAGTGGCCAGGCGCATCCCTGGAAGGGCAATGGGAACATCTCGACTTAGGGGCTGCCGGAGAATGCCCTCTCCTAAACCGCGCACCCCAAAGCTTCAGAGGGCAGAGGAACTCACAAGAGGGAGCTTGATCTTTGGCCTCTGAAGCGAACCACAAAATGGCACACATGCACCCGGCCAGTGAAGATTGGCACCAGGAACAACGCCCTCCTGCGGCAGGTCCCTGAGGGTTGAATGGGGCGCTGCCCCACCCATCTATGAACTCCTGCCTGCCTGCCTTCTTGCAACCAGTGAGGGGGCGGCTCTGCTTATCATAGGCTCAAGGGCCACCTGCTGCTGGTCTTCCATCTTCAGCCCCAACACCCCCAATGCACACCAGCAGGGAGAAAGTGGTCGAGGGAGAAGCTGCAGAGGGGAATCTGCAGGCGGAAGATGGGTTAAGGAAGCAATTCCCCTGCCAGCCCCGGCTTCTCTGTGGCAAAGCGGCCGCTCCCAGCACGGCTTTGCAGAGGCGGGAGCGGGAAGTTGCCATCAGGACTTAGAAATGCAACTTGTATGTATTTATTTATTCCTGATTTTTTTCCTGCAGACCATCATCAGCCTTACCGGAGTTCTTTTTTTAATGTTCAGGAATTCCGATTAATTCCCCCTGTCCTCCCGCCAGGAGCCGCAAGACTCGCCATCAGTGCCCACACTGGCAACTGGCAAGGAATGTAGCTTTGAGCTCAGTGCATGCTGTCTCTTATGGTGTTTTGCCCAACCTTGCAATTAAAGATATAGTGTGTAAGAAAATGGCAGCCTATGGTTTTTAGTGTGGCCAAAATGCACAGCAAAGCAAAGTCTTTGCAAATAGATGTGGGCTTGAAAATTATAGTGATGTGGCCGGTTCGGTCTTGGAAGGAGACAGGCAGTGTTGCACAATGCCTTTAAGTAACAAACCAGACACCCATCTCCAAGACTCCTAGGGTAGCATTGCAGAATCATGTCCTGGGTGCCCTATGACAGGCACCCCCAAACCCGGCCCGCCAGATGTTTTGGGACTACAACTCCCATCATTCCTAGCTAACAGGACCAGTGGTCAGGGATGATGGGAACTGTAGTCCCAAAACATCTGGAGGGCCGAGTTTGGGGGTGCCTGCCCTATGACCACGTACTAAGCAGAGATACGTTTCCTTAGATTATATATCGGTGGAGATGTCCAGTCAGTGCTTGAATTACAATGCTCCTATGATAGAATCATAGAGTTGGAAGGGACCCTGAGGATCATCTAGTCCAACCCCCTGCAATGCAGTAATATGCAGCTGTCACATATGGGGATCGAACCTGCAACCTTGGCATTATCAGTACCACGCTCTAACCAACTAAACTACGCAGCAGTGGTAGAGCCAATGCATTGCACACATAAGGTCCCAGTTTCAACCCCAGCATTTCCTGTTAAAAGGATTGGTTGGCAGGTGATGGGAAGGGTCTTTCTCTGCCTGAGTACTTGGAAGGTTGCAGGTTCGATCCCTGTATGAGACAGCTGCATATTCTTGCATTGCATGGGGTTGCATGTGCCTGTCTGAGTGCACACCAGCTCACCCGCTGGTTCAGAAGAAGTGTGGTTTGGCAAGCATAGCAGCCAACTCCTAGGGGCCAAGGTCACTTCATCTCCCCCCATAAAATATTTGGGCTTTGCCTTTCCAATGGTGTACGTGTGCCATGTTATGTGATCAATTATGCGGGTTGGGGTTTACCTGCCCCCCCCATATTTTATTCAAGTTGGCACCCCGGCTGGTGATGGGAGGCGGCGGACCAGGCAGGGTGGGTGCACCCCATCCCAATGTTTTATTCAAGTTGGTACCACTGTGATGCGGGACACAGGTGGCGCTGTGGGTTAAACCACAGAGCCTAGGACTTGCTGATCAGAAGGTTGGCGGTTCGAATCCCTGCGATGGGGTGAGCTCCTGTTGTTCAGTCCCAGCTCCTGCCAATCTAGCAGTTCGAAAGCCCGTCGAGTGCAAGTAGATAAATAGGTACCGCTCCAGCAGGAAGGTAAACGGCGTTTCCGTGTGCTGCTCTGGTTCACCAGAAGTGGCTTAGTCATGCTGGCCACATGACCCGGAAGCTGTACGCCGGCTCCCTCAGACAATAAAGCGAGATGAGCGCCGCCACCCGAGAGTCGGTCATGACTGGACCTAATGGTCAGGGGTCCCTTTACCTTTACCACTGTGATGCAGCATGCAGCTACAGCTGAGATGGGGAGCCGCAGGTCTGGGTGCCAAATGTTGCCCACTTGGGCCATTCGCATGACCATTCCCATGTGCGGTTTTGTGTCAGCATCAACTGGGTAGGTTCTCTTTCCATTTGCTTATTACATTTCCTTGGTAATGAGAGGTACTACCCATTATTGGGATGCGGGTGGCACTGGGACGCGGGTGGCGCTGTGGGTTAAACCACAGAGCCTAGGACTTGCCGATCAGGAGTTCAGCGGTTCGAATCCCCGCAACAGGGTGAGCTCCCGTTGCTCTGTCCCAGCTCCTGCCAACCTAGCAGTTCGAAAGCACGTCAAAGTGCAAGTAGATAAATAGGTACCGCTCTGGCGGGAAGGTAAATGGCGTTTCCGTGTGCTGCTCTGGTTGGCCAGAAGCGACTTAGCCATGCTGGCCACATGACCCGGAAGCTGTATGCTGGCTCCCTCAGCCAATAAAGCGAGATGAGCGCCGCAACCCCAGAGTCGGCCATGACTGGACCTAATGGTCAAGGGTCTCTTTACCTACCCATTATTACCGGTAGTTCTAGTCTTGCCCTCTGGAGCAGCTGAGTACTAGTCTTGGGCTCATGAACTCTTGTTTTCCTCCATAATGAGGAGATCAGAAACATTTGCTTCCATTACCAATGAGCAGCTGTTGGCCTGTTCATCTGAACTAGAAGCTGTTATTGGTTTTAGCAACTGTTTGCCTGGGCAAACCTACTTTAAACCATGGTTTATGATCCTGTTTGAGGGGGAAATATAGCTAAAATTGGCTGCCGTTCCCCCTTTGGATGAAACAGCACACAAGGAAGAAGAAGGAAAGGAGAATGCTAAATAATGTTTTAGCCTTGAGTCCAAACCAGGCCAAACTATTGCCTCTTCCTCCTGAATGCTGAAGGAAGCATGATCAGCAACTGCTTTATCTGCCTCATTCTTCAGATTCAATGCCGCACCATATCTGGAGGCTAATTCTTGGACTTGAAAGAAAAATTAGACTTTGTTCCATGCCTGGGGAATAACCATTCCTTGACAACCTTAAAATAATATAAACAGAAATGTAGAACAACAAAACCAACAGGCCAATGGTAGGTTAGGAATGATATCCAGTGCTTTGTAAAGTTATAAACTCGTAAAGTTTAATTAAAGGGACCCAGCTACAAGTATGCAAGTAACCAGAGTCAGAGAGAACTATAATTGCATGGATATGTTTTTAATGGGATATACAGTAATTGCCTTCTATTCAGGCAGGCAAGAGACAACTTTTTGTACTGATGAAGTCTCTTCCTGGTTTTCATGCTAATGATGGAATATACTCTTGTGCCACACTTTACAAGTGATGCTATGTACAGTTTTCTACTGTGGAGTATATCAACCTGTAGACAAAACATTATTGCCCCATCTCTAGCAAGATATGAAGATTGCTGCTTCCACACAGTGGCCAGCCAGGCTTGCATGAAGCTGACAGCTCTCCCCTGGTGCTGCTCCCCTCAGAAACTGGTTCTTCTGAACTAGAACACCTCTGGATATGGAGGTTCCATTTAGCCATCATGGCTATTAACCCTTGAGAGACCTAGGGTCCCCACACCTCAGTTGAATGAGGTGTGAGGAACCCTTGGTCCTCCAGATGTTGATGAACTACAACTCCCAGCAGCCCCAGCAAGCATAGCCAATGACCTGGGGGTGGTGTTCAGCAACATCTGGAGGGCCAAAGGCTCCTCGCACCTGCTCGAAAACAGACACAGTTGTGCAGTTAGATCAGGGCTAGCCCTTTGAGCGGACTCATCTTTTGACTGTGGCAGTGAGAGAATCCTTCACTGCAGCTGAGGGTAGCAGCCAGCTAGCTTAGGGGGCGCATGGCAGGCCATGTGGCAGGCAGGAGTTAAATTCAGGCATTAAATAGTCTTATCATTAGATGAGTCGTTCCCAAACTATTTTTCCCATGACCCACTTGAAAATTACTGAGGATTTATGTCTTGCCAAAGGCAAGGTGGCTCTTTTAAAATGAGATTCGGAAGGAATACAAAATACACAAGTGAGAGAGAAGATTAAAGATTTGATTCTAAAACAGCAAGCAATGTATACCTACCAAGCAAGCACTTCAATTTGCCACTTGGAAGCCCTCAAGAAGCGGCGAAGTGACTCCCCCAGGTAACCTCAGTTTGCACGGCCCTGCTGCGGCCAATCAGTCTGTGTACGAGCTTCAAAGAAACTCTGCCCAAATCATCCGACACTGGCTATGTGCAGATCATCCATTAGCCAGGGGCGGAGGAAGGGTGGGGGCAGTCCGCCCCAGGTATCACCACTGAAGGGGGTGACAAAATGCCGGGCGGCACTCACTGCTGGGCCTGCAGTGTGCCTGAGCCACACATCTCTCCTGTGTGGTGGCTTGGGCGCCCACAGTCTCCACGCTGCCCAAACGGTCCAGCCGTTGCCTCTCCCCACCCCAGCTGTAGGGTAGCTGAGTGGCAGGCAGATTCCAGAGGCCCCATGGTGCGCCCCACCCCTATGAGCAGCTTGCCTGGCCCCTATGGGCGGCTCGTCCTGCCCCAGGCGCCTGAGCAGCATCCTCCGCCACTGCCATTAGCCACCCCCTCCCAGTACCTCACTGTGCTGGTCCCGTGGGTTACCCGAGAGGCGAGGTCCAAGTCTGGTCCATGGTCAAAGGTGCAACGTGGAGGCAGTCCATGGTAGCTGAAGCTGGGTGCAGGGCAGGGAGTCAGGTGAAGTCAGGAACAGGCTTGCAAGCAGGGAGCCAGGGCAGGTCAGGAGCTCAGGCAGGAAAGCAGGACAGGGTTCAGGCAGGAACTAGCAACCAACAATGTTGCTCCTGCAACTGGGGACTGGGGCTGGCCAGCTTTTATCTGCCCCAAGGCATAGGGCGGCCCCAATCCTCTGGTGACTCACCTCTCCTGGCCTGGAGTTGAGCACTCCTTCCTCCTGCAGGAACTTAGTTCCCTCCGCTTTTCTGCCCTGAGCCTCTGCAGCTCAGGAGAGGCTAGAGGGTTACCAGCCCCAGAGGCAACCTCAGCTTCCCCTGACAGGGCTGAGAGTGGAGCACCTGCAGGCAATGGGTCCTCCATCACCTCAGGAGCCAGAGCAGACTCAGCTGATGCCTGCACCTGAGGATCCAGCACAGGTGAAGACCCTTCAGGCTCATGCCCCAGCCCCGGCTCAGCTGGTTCTGGAGGCGGGGAATCCTGTGCAGGCTGGGATCCCTCAGGTTCAGCATCTGAGTTCGAATCCCAGGCCATCACACTCACTTTCTCAAAACAATGTCCAACATCAAAGAAGGTACCCAGCATTATCCTCTACAACTGATGAGGCAGCTGGGGGGGGATTTACCTCCTCCCAAGGTTCTCAAGACATCTAAGACTGTTTTCACACCTTCAAAAGAACTTAACAAGAGCGAGGGAAGGGGAAGAAACAGAGACATCCACTCGCCCAATACCCTACACCCTACAAGTGTGGAGCCCTAGACATCTGCCCTGTTGGTGATGCTGAACAGTTGCAGATACAAACGGGCTTGTGAGTTACTAGCCGGAAGGACAAACTACGCAGTTTAATAGGAAGCCCTGCTGTTCTCTAGTAGGGTCAGACCCTCAGTTACCTTGGAGGTTCAATCTCAAGATGTTCTTAAGGAGTTGACAGGAACCCTCCTGCAAGACAGTGTTGTTTTGAGTGGTTTCCCTGTTGTTAGCGTTAATGGCTAATGACACTTTTAGATCCAGCTGTAATTAGAAGCAGGGAACAGATGGGGCGCTTCGGTCTAAGCAAATCCTCCAGACTTTGCCCAGACTTGCAGTGTAGTGTGAACTTGAACAATTCACTGTGAGAGTTGTTTGATGACCTCATAGACAGAAAATGTAACTTAGTTGGCGACAAATGTTGAACTACAAACAAGGCAACACATGTACACAGTGAACTTTCACAGCGTGTGGATTTTCTTAAATGAGGACTTTTGAAAGATAAAGCCAATAGCTGATGATTCCAGAGGAAATGTTATGCCTTGATATTCTCATTACAGAATGGGACAATGAGAGCATGAACAGATTAGCCTATTTCCGGTCCATGTTAGCTTTGCATGAGTTCAGCCACAGATAAGTTCTCTTCTGATTCCATGCTAATATGCAAAATAATTTTGTAAAAAAAGACTCCATTAAAAAATTGTAACTAAATATGCATTCCCCCCCTGCACTGGTGGATAGCAGAGTTTAACGGCTGTGCAAGAAAAGAATCAAATGTTACCAGCTATGATAATGACAACCTGTTGTGCAACAGTTGATTCTTGTTGTGCAACAGATGGTTCTTGTTGTCCAATAT